GGTCCCTGTGCTTTGCCAAGCTTGTTTCAAGTAGGTGCTTTAGACCACTGAGCCATCTCTCCAGCCCCCAGAAATTTTTTAAATAGAAGGAAAACTTTGCAGAGGGTGAGAGGGTGAATGGAAGCAGACTTAAAAGAAAACTTCTCTTGTTCAACTTTGTTACAGGAGGAGAACTCTGGAGATTGGGAAGAATTGTCTAAAATAAGTTCTAAAACAAACAACACTGTTTCAAGGACTGTGGAGGAAAAAGGTAAGTAAAACGTCCCCCTCAGTGAATTGCTAGACTAAGCCAGAGCAGGCGGCGTGTCCCAGGCTGAGCTTACCAGCTGAGGTACCTGCTTCGCTCTTCTGATCTTGGTATGTGTTATCACAGAAAGTTTGGGCATGGACTTAATTTGGACCCTGCCCCACCTCAGCTGTGCTTTGGCTTATCGCAGCTCATGCTTGCTGATGGGGTGGTGGCAGTGTGTCGGTGAGGTGCTGTGTATGCATGTGTGGCTCAGATCACACATGTGCGGTAAAAGCTGAACATGGGCATTGCAATTCAGTGAGCGCTCCCTTTTTTGCAGATGAACTGAGCAGCAGTGAGGCGACTGGTGAAAAGATAGAGCAGAATGAAGATGACAGCCTCAGATCGCAAGAGGTGAGACCTGCCTTCTTAGATAATTCTTTTTCCTAAGTGCAGTGGGACACCATTTCATACACTGCATTTTATTAGTGTCTTGATTTTCTTTTTCTTTTTTTTTTTTTTTTTTTAATATTTGTTTATTTTTATTTATTGCATTTATTGGGTGTGTGTGTGTGTGTGTGGCCAGCTCAGCCCACCAGGGGGCGGGGCTGGCTGGCATGCGGGGCTGGCTGGCATGCGGTGCTGGAGGATCGAACCAAGGTCCCTGTGCTTTGCCAAGCTTGTTTCAAGTAGGTGCTTTAGACCACTGAGCCATCTCTCCAGCCCCAAGTGTCTTGATTTTCTTCACTGTGTTTCACCAAAGCCTTTCTGTGAGACTGCTTGTGTCACAGCCACGTAAGGATAAGCCCCGTACTACCCCAGCGGTATGTCAGGTTCCTGGCCTTGCCCCTGAGTGCTGCCAGCCAGCTTGCAGGACAGGGAACTGGCAGGGGCTGCTGGAGCCGTGGTGTCTGCCAGACAGAAATGGGAGCAGCAGCGGGAGAGCCTGAGGAGACCCAGTTTCGTAAGGCAGAGCCACCGGCTCCAGGGAGGCCTCAGGCGGACCCCACCAGCTCCAGGCCCTTTGGGGTTTGTAGGGTGCCCGCGGGGCGGAGAGCAACAGAAGCCTGAGCCCAGACTGCTAAGATCCAGGGACACAGCTAGTGCGGAGTTGGCAGTTTTGTAATGCATCTTTGTTTTTAACCTCTGTATGAAACTCAGTGGACTCCTTGATTTTTTTTTTTTTTTAATACAAAATAACTTGATCACAAGGAACTTGCACTAAATTAATCTTAAATGGGCGTACACAGTTCTTACAAAAGAAAGAAACAACATTCAGGTCTTGGCAGCACAAGTGAGATGACGAAGGGAATGTCATCCTTTGGAAAGCATCGTAATAAGACATGCACGTTGTGCCGCTGCTGTTTCTGTAAGGCCTACCACCTTCAGAAGTCGACTTGTGGCAAGTGTGGCTATCCTGCCAAGCGCAAGAGAAAGTATAACTGGAGTGGAAAGGCTAAAAGGCGAAATACCACCGGAACTGGTCGAGTGAGGCACTTAAAAATTGTATATCGCAGGGCCTGGTGAGATGGCTCAGTGGTCTAAAGCACCTACTTAGAACAAGCTTAGCAAAGCACGGGGACCGCGGTTCAATCCCCAGCACCACATGCCAGCCAGCCGCGCCCCCTGGTGGGCTGAGCTGGCCACACACACACACACACACACACACATAAATAAATAAAAATTTTTTAAAAAATTGTATATCGCAGATTCAGGCGTGGATTCTGTGAAGGAATAACACCTAAACCCAAGAGAGCAGCTGCAGCGTCCAGTTCATCTTGAGAATTGCAGCAATCACTCTAAATAAACACTTTGGTTTTAAAAGAAAAAAAAGAAACAACATTCGCAAGCACACACTTGCATTACCATTGGGTTTGTTCCTGTGCCAGTGACCAGTATTCATCTGCAGAGGGAGCTGCAGCAAATGAAGAAAACACTTGCTGCTTATTTCTTAAAGCCAGGATTTGAGCCCTCATAGGAAGGAACTCTAAACTCATTTTGAGAGACTGAAGTATTTGTGTGACAGAGGACAGTTCTTTAATTGCAGATATTTTCAATTCCCTTATAGGAAGATCAGCCAGTAATTATTAAAAGGAAAAGAGGAAGACCTCGTAAATACCCTGTGGAAACAGCACTAAAAATAAGTAGGTGTTTGGTATGTTTTCACTTCATGTGCTAGAAATTTTTGAAATAATCATTCTGAATGTTTTGCTTGTTTTTTGTCTTATTAGAAGAAGATTCCAAAGCAGACACTGGCATTGTCTCTGTAAGTATTTGTGAGAAGTAAAAAAGAACTCTTCAAATACTTGTTCTTGACCTGAAATAACTAGTTTTTGAACTACCTTTTTTGAAAAGCTTTAACATATTTTATTAAATAAATCATGGGATGACCATTCAAATACTATGTTGAGCACTTCCCCCACCCCAGTACTGGGGATTGAACTCAGGACCTTGCACTTGCCAGGCAAGTGCTTATTCTATTGCGCTATCTCCCCGGCCCAATTTTTTTTTTTTTTTTT